AGAGCCCATTTTACCAAGTGTAATTTCATATCTGCGTTCTGTAAACTGGAGTGCCTTCAGCATTGTAAATAAAAAAAAATTGCCCTCTATTAGCATGTTTGTGGGCAGATTAAAAACAGTCTTCATTAGCATAAGTAACACTTACAGATTCTTTTAAAAGTAGAAAATTATTTGTTGAATGATAAATTGCGAGCTTTCTAGTTAGTTGCTGAAAATGTGCTCATTCAAAATGCCTACTTTAGTTTAGTCTACAATACTCAATTTTTTTTAGTTAGAAGTACTGTTTAATGGATTATGTACTTAGTCTTTGTTCATGGTAGATGCTGAAATGCAATTCACACTTTCTGCTAAAATGTTTGTATCAAATACCTCCCTATTTAGATTGATTTTTTTTTTTAACACCATGGATTTTTATTATACTATATGCCCCAGAGAATGATACAAAATAATCTTAAATATACTATAACCAAAAAAACCTGAGCATGTCTTAGCTTTGATACTCTAAAATGTTTTCCCTTCTTAGATTTAAGTTTCAGCCTTTCTAAAAAATGCTGAAGTAGTTGTTATTCTGCAAGAAATATTCATCATTTGGCAAATTATTATCACTGTAACAAATTGACCAAACAAGTTCAATTGCTTCACCTTGTAGCCTTCCTTTCTCAGACTAGATGTGTTTCTTGCTGATTTGGAAAGCTTTGGGCAGAGAACATTTTTCATTATTGTAATGTTATTCTCTTTGATGTAATTAGGGTAGGTTTTCAAACATTAGGTGTAGATTTTATTTTTTTTTCCCTTTCAATAATAAAAAATGGAAGAGTATTTTATTAGAAACTCTATGTGAAAGAGCACAAAATTTTATTTAAGCACAGCGGAGGTCTAACTGAAAAGAATATAATTTGGATATATAGATAAAATGCATAGATGTTTTCTTTAAAATAAGCATGATCATGGGTATTGCAGAGCCTAAGTTTTGGCAGTTATCCTCTTTGCGCTTTTCCTGCAATAGTTTGGCAGTTCGGCTTTCACAGGTTTTTTTCCTCTAATGTCTTGTGTTTCTTTACTAAATCCCTATCAGAAAACCAGACAGAAGACTCTTATTTATTTTAAATATCTTAGGTTTAGCATCTTTTTTTTTTCACCATTTTCTTGCTTACTGTAGCAAGACCTTTGCAGATGGTACTTGGTTACTTGAAAGTGCATAACAGTATTTTCTTTGTAGCAGATGGATTTAAGACTTTTAGTTCCCAATAAATGTAGGTTTACAATACATAACTTTACAGGATTTGTGTTGTATATAACAGGTTTGAACATATTATCTCAGAATTCATCTGCATGGCATTTTCAGCTTATCCAGGGCCCATGCCAGTATTTTAAGTAATAGGGAGAGCATAGTGATTGATAGCAGCTAAAGGCGTGATTTTGAATAGAAACAAAGGTTTTAGAACAGAAGGTGTCAAATTAAACTTTGTCAGTTTGAAAAGTAGTAACATCCTGAAAGTTCTCCAAACATATTTACATGTGGCTAATGTTTATATTTTGCTTTGTACTCTCTTTATATTCAGTGTAATGTTGCCTGGCAAATTTACTCTGTTTTAAAATCAAGGTTGTTCCCAATGTCATTGCAGAGTTTTTGGGGGGTTTGCCTTTCTGCATAAATGTATCAACTTCATTATTTTAATGCTGATTTTTTTTTGGTTTTTTTAACAATGTACTCTATATGCTGTATAAACCGGTTGTGATCTAATCTGACTTATAAATATTTCCTTATTATTTTGTGATCATTTCCACTTCCTGTAAAAATATAAAGACAAGAAAAAAAGGAAACTAGGCAGAAATTGCTCTAGACTTAAAAAAGCATGAAAGGAGAAAAACCGGCCCTGTTAATAATAGCCCTGTTAATTTAGCCTTGTAAATTCAATTGCATTATCTGCAGCACTTCATACTTTTTTTAGATCAAATGGAAACAAAACTTATAAATTTTACAGAACTTAAAATTAACCATTAGAAAAGTCTGGAAGATTACTTTTCCTAAATTTCGTAAAAACCTTTCACACTTTCTCATGTAGTATGAAATTTTATGAATGAGCTTTATTTCCTGTACAGAATTCTGAACCAGAAACTAAATGAAATACTTTTATTTTTGTTTGTTTGTCTTGAACCAAAAGAAAGCATATTGGTATAAAGTTCTTTGTCTCAACAAAGTAATCCCCTACAGCCTCTCTTGCTGTCCATCCACTATCTCTTCTGAGAACATTGGTGAGATCAACTTTCATAAATATGTACAGAAATAAACCATGAAGATGAAAAAAATTGTTTCTATCCTTGTAAAATAATTCAATTGTTTGTTCCCATGTTTTCCATCAAATATTTCATCAGACTGTGTCTACTTCTTTAAAAATATGCCAAGTGGAATAGAGACATTTTGGTAGAAAAGTAATCTTTTCTGTGTTACCCTGTCAGAAGTATGTCTTCATTATCTCAAAATCCCTGAAAGGCTAGCAGAGACATGTTTCAGGTTGCAATTCATCAAATAATTTTAGATATGGAATTAGAAGTAGTATTTCAGTACAAAAATTGAAAGAAAAATATTGGAAATACAATGTTAGCTATCAGTAGTGGATAAAAATAAGGTCTGACCTAGTAAATACAGAAACAGAAAAGAAGACAGTAAGGGCAGAAGGTATTTCTTAGTTAACAAAAACTGTTGTGATGTATGTTTAATCAACAGAAAGTATTTTTGCCTAGGACTTCTTTTTTTTTTCTGGATATTTTTTTAATTATGAAGAGTTTCTACTGGATTTTTAAGGAAAAACAAACCCTGTGGTTCCTGTGGTCAGCAGACAAAACATGTGCAGCTTCTAAATGCACGGTGTAACTTCTTTTCCAGCCTGTGTGTATGCCTTGGAGAAGTGTCATGAGTGGAGACAGGTTGTCTTGTCTTTTTTTTGCTTTCACCAAACTGTCATGATGGGCAGCTCTGTTCTTTGTTTCACCACAATTAGAAAGAGAGCCAACAGTTTCAGTGTGAAGCAGTGTAGATTCTAGACAACCAAACAGCAATTTTTACACTTTGACATGGGATGGTTTGTGGCTTTAGGGTATTTTCATTAAGAATTTTGTAACTGCTTTTCAGTTAAAATATCTAGATTGGTGTCTCTTCATCTTCTCTCCTCCATCTCCAACAAGCTACTTCTGCTTTCTGAGTGCACCACTTTAAGCTTACTGCAATAAACAAATAGTGCTGTTAAATGTAATCCAGCGTTCAGTTTCCCCACAGATGCAAGGTGAGCAGAGAGCCATGAGCAACATGCTGTTTTTGTTAGGGGCAGGGAGACCCCACTCTGCTAATACATGCCAGTGAGATTCCAGAGACCCTTGCTACTGTTTTGAAAACATGCCATACAATTCCAGCCAGGACAGGCTGAGTGTTGTGTGCTCTGTGTGAAGGCATTTGGCTGCATTTCCAAGTCATCTTGCTAAACCCTGGGGCAATACCAGCATCCCCCCTTAGTGCATGGTCAAGGAATGGAGTGTGCTCCATCCCTAGGGTATGGGGAGTCATTCTGCTGCCTCTGCTCTCCCCTGTCTCTGCTCCCTCCCTAGCACACCTCATGAGCACCAGGTAGATTTTGGCCCCATTTAAATTTTTGCTTTTTCAGCTCTGCTACCACCATCTCTATAACATTTGTCATTTTGATAGTTTCTTGGGGGCATTTTCTTCTGTGTCATTTGTTCAGTTTTTCACTTATATCCAAGCAAATATACTTCAAATTTTTATACGCACCTCACTAAATATTTTCATATACAATATGAAGGCATTATTTGTTTACTTTTACTCTTCCTGTTATGGCAATGTTTTTACACTGCATTTATTAATTCTTAGCTGAAGATATGAGTATCTTCAGGAAAATACATACCTATATCATATCTACATGTCTATTGTATCTGTTAGTAAACCAGTCTGGATAAACCATTAATCCACTACCGGTACATATAAAAAGGATCTAAAAGCTTCTGTACATTTATATTATTTGTTGATTCAATAAAATGTCACATTATCTTTACAGCATTAAGAGATAAAACTACATGAACCTATTTTTGAAAACAGATCCTTGAAGCTAAAATAAAGGAAATATGCATGTTTTATACATGTAATATTTTGTTCCTAAATTTTAATATATTAGAAAATTTCTGCTGATGCACAGTGTCCCAGCTAGAGGGTTTACATTCCTCATTTAGAACTACCAGTGCACAGTTAAGAAAAAATCCTCAATTCAATTTTAAGAAGATGTAAGGAAACATTCCATTTTTGTGATGAACTCATGTCTCTTTTTGAAACAAATTAGCAACTGTTTCTGTTTTTGCAGAAGATTCTGTAGCCAACTTCTTATTAAGTGTCCCAAAGACTAAGGCACCTTGCTGTCCTTGATGTAAAAATGTATAAAGGGTGTATCAGAAACTAGAGCACATCTTCCTACCCCCCAACCTGTAATAATCCTGTAGATAAAACTGAGGGACTGGGGGTTTTTGCATCTGTAAGGACAATCTGGAAACAGTTATGTATCACTTGAAAGAAGTTCACCTGCAGAGAAACCTCTTCTTGTAGCAACCTCTTTCTTGTAGAAATAAGAAGTTATTGCTTAATTGTTTCTAGTCTTAGGATTCCTGTCTTTTGGAAGGATATTAGGGAGCTCCTCTGCTGCTCTGAATTACTTTAGGCAGCTCTACAGTCAAGCAAACAAACAGCTGCACTGTGGTGTGAGACCAAGGGGAAGGTGCTTTCTAAAATGCCTGTGGTTGGTAAGGGTCTGTAAAATGGCTGGGCAGCCTCTCAGTGTATTGGTGTTTCCTTTAAGCCCAGCTTGTGCACTGAAAGCCCTTTGGATCAGGTGAGAGCATGAGAGAATGCAGCACCTCTAAAGTATACGTGTCCCCTTCATTTTTCCCCTTACAGTGTGATAAAAAAAACCCACTAATGTTTTGCTGGTTTTATCTTCAAGGGGTGGCTCTGTGAGCTGTTACGTTGGAAAGAAGATCCATCACCAGAGAACAGGACCCTCTGGGAGAATCTCTCCATGATCCGAAGGTTCCTCAGTCTTCCTCAGCCTGAACGCGATGCCATTTATGAACAAGAAAGCAATGCAGTTCATCACCATGGTGACAGGCCTTCCCACATTATCCATGTGCCAGCAGAACAGATTCAGGTTAGTTTACCTTGGCCAATCCCGCAGAGCGCTAAGTAAATAAAGCTTTAAACGGAGCAAAGGAAATTAGTGTTTCTTCCCTCCCGGCCAGGCTAAATGCAGGTCTCCCGGTGCAAGATAAGAGTGCTCTGCCGTCCACCACCACAGTTCAAAGGAGGCCGTGTGACCACCCACAGTTCTTGTTTCAGTTCGCTGGTTGTTTGCAAACGTGTGTGGTGGTAGCACAGGGCAGCTGTGTGCGGGGCAGGGCGAGCTCCATGCTGGCTGTGCCTGGCTGGACAGGCACCAGGGCCAAAAGGCAGGAGCGTGTGGCACCGGTGTCACAGGTCTTCCCAACAGAGCAGGAGGACCTTGTTGTGCTGCTGTTCCAAAACTAAGCAAGAGCCCTCAGCAGTGGCAGCTCATCCTGGGTAGGAGTGAAGGGAAGGGGACTCCTCATCCCACTTTAACCCCAGTTGAGACTGGGGTGAGTCAATATTTGTTTGTTTTTCCTTCAGAGCCCCTCTCCCACCACCCTTGGGAAAGGAGAGCATAGAGGCGCTTTCCTACCAGGCCTGCTGACCGCTGGACCTTGGCTGGGTGCTGCTCCGCAGGTGAGCCGGCACAAGGGCACCATGTCAGGGAGAGAAAGGAGGGGATGCAGGACCCACACCATGAGGCTTGGAAAAGCTGCCCTCTACTTCAGGGCAGCCCCAGCGGGGCCTCCTCCAGGAGCTGCACGCACCCTTTTTGCTGGCACAGGCGCTGCCAGCCGGGAGTGGAGCTGGCTGCTGTGCTAAGCTGTGCAGCCCAGGTTATCAGTGGGGACTGCTGTCTCTTCTGAGCTGGGACTCTTTAATCGCTTCTCACAAAAGGCCTGAGGTCAGCCTTGTAACTGCTCCTTCTTAAAGGGCAGATATTACCCCATGCTTTCCCAACCTCAGCTGAGACCCTGTGTATCACTTATATTACCTATACAGAAAAATATTTACAAAGCTAGGAAGGATAGAGTTATCTCGCAGCCAGAAACAACACGAGTGTATATTAAAGATAAAGCAAACTGAATAAGACAATCCCTTAGGATATCAAGTACTAAAATAATTGTGAAAGCCTGGAAACTTGCTGTTTGATTTAGCACAAAGAGAGAGAAAGATCTATATTAAGTAATAAAACAGCACTTGTTTGAAAATGTACATTGTTTTTAATAAAATCGCTTCTTAAGGGGATAAAAGGAGAAGCTTATGCACACTATAAACATTCAACCACTATGCTACTTACTTAGATTTTCTTGCCTTGTTGATAAAAGTTGTGTGTTTGATCTCATAAATATTATTCACATAAGCAGTTGCATTGTAATATCTTAATATGACTTGTAAGAGTAAGGATTGGGAGATTGGGCCTGAGTTTTGTCTCTGCTCTTCTACATGGTAATCATTGTAGATACATAAATATGTCGCTCAGACACAAGTTTTCAAACTGTATATAAAAAGCCTCCAGTCTTGTAAGAATTTAATGTGCTGGGAGTAGTCTTGAATCTTTTCAGGATTGAAGCCTTGAATGGGACTGCTCACAGGCTATAAACCATGAAAGGACCCCAGAAGGAATGAGGAAGGAGACCTAATTCCAGGGCATTTGTGTCAGATCTTAAAATATGAAGATCACTTAGAGCAGTGGCTTCTAAACCGGTTGTGGAGATCTCCACAACCGCAAGAGTCCCTATGAAGCAGACAGAATTCTAATCCCTCCAATATTTATACCATTTGTACAGCATTTTGTGCTTCTTAGGGTCTCAAAGAGCTGCTACTAGAAGCCTGGTAACCACTACCAAAACACAAAAAAATTGTTGAGGGGAGACTCTCAAAGGGAAATAAAATGCAGTGATAGTAACTGCTTGTTTTGCTGTGGTTGTTTTTTAATAACTGGTGGTTTGTACCATATGACAAGAAATTTGCTGATCCAAAATATCTTACTAACCAGTGCTTCCTGTGCTGTGCAGCAAAAGAATTGTCAACACAAACAGTAGCTGATAAATTTACTTTTGATTTTAAACATGATCTTATAGTGTACTGTACTCTGGTGGTAGATGAGAAAAACATTTCTGTCCCTAGGGCTCAGTGCCTCACCTTTTAAGAATGTTTCTGAATCCATGCTTGCAAAACTTCATTTTAAGCTCTTGTTAATTATTTACATCATGATTTGCTTTATCTTATTCTTCTGATGTGCATACTGGCTCATTTTTATTGCCTGAGTTTTTGGAATGCAGCATGTTCCCTTCTAATAATAATAGTGCAACTTATTTAGAGCTTTGCATCTTAGTGCCTTATAAATATTAACTAAATAATCTCCAGCACAAACACAGAGGCAGGTAAATAGGTCTGTTCCCTTTTTATTTCTTGGGTTACAGGCAGCACAGAAACCATAGGTAAGAGAGGTCAGATCCAGAAGGGGAAATACAGATTTCCTACCTCCAGAGCTCTTTGTCCTTGCCGAGGCTGGGTTTGACAGCGTCACGTTAGGCGCTTCCAGCCAGCACATTGTCGTAATGTTTGCAAGTTTGACGAGACTTCAGTGCATGCTGAGGTCAGATCAGCAGTGAGATATTTCTGTACTGAAAGAGATAAAATGCTCTCCTTCCCTCTGACTCCCCACTCCCTTCATCTAGCTATTGCTAGAGATTTGCAGCCCTTGTTTTTCGGGCAGCAGCTGCCGTTGCTGGCAGAGCTCCGGCACGTTTGCCCTCATCTGGCACTTTTCTCACTTTGCCCTTGCTACAGTTCTGGCTAATCTGGTCAAGTTAATCCTATACTATGTCACCTATTTAGCATTTTGTCTTGTCTGCACTTGACTCACTGAACGTGTTCATTAAAATTTGTCAGGTAAACTGCACCGATGTTGTATCATCGCTGCCTTTGGTCCAGCAAACCTACGGTGTTCTTTTTGTTCTTTCTTTTTTTCCTTCCTTTTTGTTCTTTTAACTTACTAAGCCTTTGTTTGTAGCTCCGCAATTTCTTCCCCCTGCTCCCTCCCCAGGATTTTCTCAGTAACAAAATATGAGCAAGAATACATGTACAAAAAAAATGCTGTTCTTTGTCTTGCAGCAGCAACAGCAGCAACAGCAACAACAACAGCAGCAACAGCAACAACAACCAGGTCCCAGACTACCCCCAAGGCAACCGACAGTAGCATCACCAGCTGAATCTGAGGATGAAAATCGTCAGAAACCCCGACCACGAACAAAGATTTCTGTTGAGGCCCTAGGGATCCTACAGAGTTTCATACAAGATGTAGGCCTGTATCCAGATGAAGAAGCAATCCAGACTCTCTCCGCTCAGCTTGACCTGCCCAAGTACACCATTATCAAGTTCTTTCAGAACCAGCGATATTATCTCAAGCACCATGGGAAACTGAAGGACAATTCTGGTTTGGAGGTGGATGTTGCAGAATACAAGGAAGAAGAGCTCCTCAAGGATTTAGAAGACAGCATCCAAGACAAAAATGCAAATACGCTTTTTTCAGTTAAACTAGAAGAAGAGTTATCAGTAGAAGGGAACACAGAGATTAATGCTGAATTGAAAGACTGATCTAAAAGTATTATTTTCTTTCAACAGTGCCGCTGGTATTTACTAATGAAATGAAAATTCCATCTTGCGTTCTGTCAAAAACCCTTATTATTCATTGTTTGGCCAATGAATCTTCCAAAACTTGCACAAAAGTTGAAAAAAAGGATAATGCAGACTGCACTAGATGTTTTACTCTGTTTTACAAACTGCTTCGCAGCAACAGATGAAGCGTTGAGGATTGTTTGATATTAATTTGTGTTCACTGGATACACTGTGAGTGTACCCAATAAGCATGATACCAGTGATTTTGATTCTGGAGCCTTCAGACAAGCATTACAACTTTTGTGATTTACTGTTTTTTCGTTTCTGTTTTGTTCTTGTTTTTTAATTATTACTGTAGCACTCCACACTTGATCTTTGAAAAATCACATTTATTTAAAAAAATAAAATAAAAAGAGTTTGTTACTCTTGTTCTATTGTATGTTACAAAAGAACTATAGACTGTGGAATGCAGTTTAAAGATAACATATGCCAACAAATGCCTTGTATTATATGGCACTGCCGTAATTCAGATTTGTTTTCTTTTGGAAATAAAGGTCACTGTATTTTTTTTTTTTCCATTCTCATTGTTACATGGTTTTAGAGAAAATGAAAAAGAAAATGTGAAACACAATTTAGTCCTCATTATTTATTTGTAGATCCTGCAGCATCATGTTGTAATTAATTTTTTTGGAAGTTTCCGTTAAATGTAATATTGCTTCTCTTGTTACCATACTGATTTTTTTTTTCTATTTATAAATGTATTTTGATGGGCAGTAAAACAAAGTGTCTTAAAAGTTTTAAATAGAGAAAATGTGCTTTACACAGTTGCCTATAAAAAGTGCTCTATGTTATCCAAGCAATTCATACTATAAGCTTCACTCTTATTGTTGTATGCAATTTTTACTATCATGCAAATAAGCTTAGGTAAATAAAACTAATAGATCACCTTAGAAACTTATGCAATTAATGTGAAAATAATTGATGTTTGCAATGTGTCTTCCTTTGGTTTACAATCAATTTTAAAGCTACAGCTGTATAAATTTTCTGTATAAAGGTGTATTTCTTTTTTATGAGTTTATTGCTATGAAAACACCAGTTATTTTGTTACAGCTGGCTGTTTTTATAAGTGTATCACAATTTTCTTTATGCAGAAATGTTCTGACTAGGAGTGGTTATTGACTGTAACTACACAATTAAAATTGTTTGTATGGTATGATATGGCAGGGTTTGTCTGTGTATGTGTACATCTGTGAGGAATAACTTGTTCTTAGTGCGCATCATACCTTCTTGCCACCACTTTGTTCTCCTTTAAAATCACAGGCAGATTTTTTTAATGACCTTCTTAAAATTTGAATTTAGATAACATACTTCAAAAAGAAACACAGTTTGGTTATGAAAATCATAACCTGTCTTTTCTTGGTTTAAAAACTTGCCTGCCCAACAGAGATAGCAGGATATTATTGAGTCAGAAGGCTATCAGGCATAAACATATTTACAGTTCCTGGCAGTAATGCACTTATAATGGATACAGCTGGTTTTATTTTACACTAGAATTATGCTAACACTGTTCCTTGCACTAATGTATAAACATTAAAAAAAACATTAATAGTCATAAAATAAATAGGAAAGATGGGCTTTGCCCATAGCAGTCTCCTTCTAAGCAAGATTATTTTTAATGATCACTAATAAGGTTCTTGATAAAGCCATAACAATTGGTGACCTCTGAATTTATGCAAGGCTCATGTCTAGGTTAAAGAGCAGTCTGAAGCTAAAAGTTATGGAGTACACACTGTTGTTCTCCTAGGAGAGAAATAGCTCACACACGGTGTGACTTGGGATGGGGATTCAGCTCAGTTCTTCCCAAAATGACTAAAAGTTTGCAACACTCAACATGAATTTCAAAGGCACAAATGACTCTTGGTTTAGTTCCATTATGTTCACAAGGAAATTTGAAACTGCTGCAGGTTGTCCTTTGTCTCAATGTACTTGTGGGTCCATTGAGCAGCTCTCAGCTGCAGCACCTCTTGGTTTCTCCCAGGACTGTGTTGGAGCTGCACCATGGTTTGGGTTTGGGATCCAGTCCAGCTTGACTACTCTAGTCTAGCTAGAACCACTCTAGGAGGGAAATAAGCCTTAGGAGGGACACATATATGTAATTTGGCATTGCATTCCAATAAAAAGGCAGTAAAACTATGCTCTCACTTAAGGGACTTGTAGTAGCTATAAAACTATTGATAGCCCAAAGCTATGCTGGTCACTGAAAGGCAAAATTAAGCCTAGTCCAGGGAAGTCACTGTGATCATGATTGGAATTCTTCCCTTCTTTCAAATGCCATTGTTGCTTTATGCAGCCATGCAGATGGAGCTAGGACTGACCCCTGTACACAGCCGAGGGGCAGGGCGTGTAGCTCAGGCAATGAAAACTGATTTGGTGGGCAGGACAGCACTGCTGGCACCCTTGGGTACACTCCATAACTAACAATGTGTGCATATGCAAGGCAGAAGGGGAAGTGAAGGAAAGATTTTCCTGGAATATACCTCTCTCCACACTAAGCATTAATACACACAACACTCCGAATACCAGAAAGAGGGCAACCCTACAAAAGCATAAGAAGAAATGTTTATAAAGCAGTCTTTGGTATTTCGCAAGCAATTTCCTTTTCTTTTATCATTTTAAGTTTTATGGGTGCTGAAGTAGAGGCCATGTGTGCTTGCAGATGGTTATTATAGCTGTTTCTTTTCCATTATCTTCATTGTTCTTTCTCCTACTGTAGCTGAGGTTATCTTCCAAATAGTTCAGCCTCTGTAGTCACACATTACCTGCACAGGAGTTCGAATCATTGCCTTTTTGTGTCCCAGTGGGTGGGCTGCAAGTACAGTCTTTTAACTTGACCTACGTGACCAAAAGCATTTTTGTTAAATCTTTGGCAGTATTTTCAAAGGTGATATGGGTATTAAGGATTTCAGCTTTCTGTGAATGCAAGAGATTTGTACTGCTAGGAGTTCATCTACAACAAGCATATGCCACCTTGATTCATGGACCAGTTAGACTACCTAGAAAATTACCTTATGTCCTTTTCTGTTCCTTAAGTTCCTTTTTCTCACCATCTGGTGGAAACATACAAAAAAATACATATATATACCCAAACGAACAAACACACCTTTCCACTTCAGCAAGGATTAAGAAATCAGACTGGAATTTTATAATGAAAGAAAATTGGGACATAAAACCACTATTAGTTTGGAAGTTGTTAGTAAAATTCACTGAGTAGCACTTCTCTGAGTGTATGAAATGAGTATCTCATATATACTTAAGGAAGAATGGGGAAGGAATATTACTAGGAATAGAATTTAAGCTGCAAAGAAAGCCAAATGCCTAAAAAGGAGGGAACTGAGTGCTGGGAGGGGATGGCAGGGCTTAATTTTTACTCTAAAACTGAAGTATTTACCGTGTTTTATGGTGTTTACCATAAAAAGTGGAGTATTTTTACTCCCTGATGATTCCCATTATTCTACATTCAACTGACAAGATTTATGTGTATATGCTAGAATCCCTTGCGTGTGTTTTTCCATCCTCAAAGAAACCCAAATAGGCCCCAAATTGCAAGAGGTCCATGGCCTCGGGACAGTCTCCAGCCCCAGTCACATCCACAAGTTACTTATAGAGACTCACTGCCCTAAGATGCAGGGGTTTAGATTTGTGGTTTTTATAATTGGTAAGATGACCCAGCAAAAACTGCCCATGTATAGAAGTAAATTATTGCACTTACTTTTTTCTTTTAGTTGGGAAGGTGCAGCAAATGGAGAAAGGAGAAGGTTCCACCAAACCAGTGATTTTGTTGCAGTGATTTACAAAGTCAGTGCTTTGATTGTGTGCTGGGAAAGCACCAATATTACTAAGTTCATTTGCCAAAGCAAATGCTCCATATGCTAAGAGCAGTATAAATTAGATATTATAGAGGCTCTACTAGAACATCAAGTATTACCAATTCTGCTTAACTTATTGAACTTGTGCTTTGAAGTCAGGTACATTGCAAAGACCAAAGGTATTTTGATTTTTACATAATGATTTATATTGTGCTTTGAATAACAGTCCCATAGCAAAGCAGGGATATAAATACACTCCCAGGCCTTTTTTTTGCACACAGAGGTAATTTAGGTTGGTCTCCTCACAGTGCCTTGCGTCCACACACTCTTTTACTACAACAAATGAGCTAATAATTCAAACTGCAATAAGTGATCCTCCTTGGAGCAGGAGTAGTGCTACTTGGCAGTGAGTTTGTTTGCTTTCAGGTTCATACGGGAGCCTTCCCGCCGGCTCTGCTGCTGGCAGCCCTCCCACTATCTCACGCTGTATTGTTTCATTTTGGCCTGACCTGGGCACTCTTCCTGCTCCAGGTCACCTTGGCCAAATGTCATCTCTCCTGGTTATATGCCATTTCTCAGGTGCCACAGATTAATATGAGGCAGCAAGGCCTGTGTGTGACTGATGTCACCTACCCTTTGTCATCGCCGTTCATGCTGGGAGCCCTGCAGAGTTGCTTGAATAAACCACTTGCATTGGAAAGAGTGTGATGCCTGGAGCAAACCCACCAGGATTGCTTCTGAGCTGATGGAGTCAAGGGCGCAAGGGGTGCATTCCAGAGGGGAAAAAGAAGGAAGGTGCCAGCAAAAGATGAAAGAATCAGAAAAGTCACAATAGCTACCCTTGCATGGGGGATCGAGCTTTTCTTGCACAGTGTGCTGTGGCAGTACTCAAAATACTACAGAGTACTGCCAGGACTCTATGGAAAATGCACAATTGTCTCCAGTTGTGGGATTTTCCCTGTCAGGCAATATCTAGTTTAACACAAAAACTTCCTTCAGTTGTCCATGGCTAAAGAGGTCCCCTATCACTTTGTCCTCTGGTTCCATCCTTGTGTGTCAGACATGCAGGATTCTTTTTGCCAGCTGCTGACATGTTACCATGGCAGATGCAGCCGGGACTCTTTCTAGGTTACTTGCTTACCCATACAATGTGCTAAAGCAGTATCCAGGCTATAAACCCTCTCATTTTCTTCCAGGATCACACCCAAACACAAGCAGTGTGCTTGCAGCCTCAAACCTACTTTTTGGAGCTACAGTGCTCCTTCTCATTGGACCAGATGTGCCACAGCAAATGTGTTGTATAGCTCAGATGTTTCTCATGGTGCAAGAGAACAGAAAAAACATGACTTTTGTGGGTGCAGAGATATATAAAGCACACACTGTTCAGAGGTTTTAGAGCAAGTAAACTCTGCCAAGAGGCTTCAGAGAGAGATTTAATACTGCTATAGGTGTCTTAAATCATCAGTTGCAATGATTAGAAATTGTTGGGGCCAGAAAAGTTCATATACAATCCTACTATATTTGCAGAGGACCTTCTGCCAGAACAGAATTTGAAACAAAGGGCACTCTCTTTTGTTATTTGCATTACAAAATAAACATTCTTTGCAGTACAAACCTTGTTGCTCTTCCATATGTACACTAAAGCAGGACCCTGTCCTGGTAACAAGCAGCACTGCCTCAGCTATTTGTCCCTCATATATGCCCCATGTCCAGGGGGTTCCCCTGAACATGGCATGCCCCAAAACAGCTTAATTCTTCTTCACTCTCCCATCATCAACCACGGCCTTTCATCTGCAGTCAATATTTTCACCTGGCGAAAGCAATTTAACAAACAACTTACCTCAGAACAAACCAGGGCAGGGAAAGGTAAACTAGGCTGTCTTTTCACAAGGGAAGGAAAAGTGATTCTTTATCATTAACAGCATAGCAGCTTGCACTGTGAATTAAGTAGAGGTGTTGTTGTTGGCTTGCCTTAGTAGGAAAAATGCTATACCCCCATCTAATAAGGATTTAATATCAGCTGGAAGAGTAGAGACATAAAGGGAGGAAAAGGGAGTGAGAAGAAATATCTAGATAAAGTCTTATTGGAGGCATTCATGCCTAGAGGTGGCTGGAGAACAAGAGTAGTTTAAATTAAAGGAAATCTAAGTTAGCCACAAAGGAAAACTAAGCGAGGACCACTTTGTGGTTCACATACTGGACACCCTGTGAAAATGGGGAAAGAGTGAACACAGAGTTCTTTCAGAGGAAAGATTAAGTAGAAAAGGCCTGTAAAAAGGCTGCTCAGCTTGCTGCACAACTGTAAGTGATGCATGGAAGGCGAATACAGAAAGAAAATTCAAAACTTCTTGT